AAAAAAATTTCATCCGTACTGACATCCCATTTCTAAGATTTCAGTTTTCTTTTTCGTTTAGGATAAGAAAATAGAATTTTATTATAAATATCGAAAAAAAAAAATTATTCTTTAAGATTATCAAAATTGCTACATATGACATATTATATTGATTTATTTTTAAGAATAATTTACAGTGAAATTGTTACATTTATTTCGAATATTTTTGATGAAGAATAAAGTTAGCTTACGATAACAAATGAATTTTTGTCAGTTTCATTTTTCAAATTATTTTCAAAGAAAATTAAAAACGTTTGTTTCTCGTTAATTTTAGCAGTACTACGAACATTTATTTATTATACAAATTTCACCGACACCAAATGTCATCTGTACTATCACTATTGATGGTAATGATGATGATAATACATGGTGGTGTGGAAATAGTGGAATGTATAGAAATGTATGAAAATGAATCGGAAATTGCTGATCGAAAAATTCGAATATTGTGCAGTGTTAATCCAAACTTTGACATTTGCCCTGGTATTTTTTCCTTTCTATTCTAACTAAGATAATTCCTGAATGTAGAATTATCATTAAATATATCTTTCATTGATTTCAAAATTAATTGAAAGATATAAAATAAGTAATAAATTTGAGAGCATGCTATGGAGAAACGAAAATCAAGCTATATGCGTTTTGGACGATCCTATCCTGCTATGCTAGAAGTTGAACCAAATATGAATGAAAAACGGAAAAGCGCATATATGAGGTTTTTTAAACATTCTTTTTCGCTTAATTTTATTAATTAATCGAAGATTTTTATGATTTTTTTTTTTGTTTTTTACTTTTCGATTTGCTATCAATTTCAGATTTGGGAAACGTTATGTAGATTCCAATGATTACGTAAAAAGAAAGTCAGCATATATGCGGTAAGTTATTAATATGCTAAAAAAAAAAAAAAAACTGAAAAACAGAATGGAAATAAAGCGGCTTAATTGGATGGAATAGAGCAAAGGAAATTAAAAGCTGAAAAAAAACGGATTACGGATATGGCTTTTTTTCACAGCTTTATTCACGCTTATTTATTATGACAAAAAAGTACCCTACCACTTATTTGAATTCATGAATTCATCTATTAAAGTCTTATGATGATTAAATATAAAATCAATGTAAGAAATAATTATAAAAGTACCATCATGTAAAAAGTTATCTGAAATTGCATTCGAAAAAAAAAGTTAGAACTCACTTTTTTCTTTTTACACTTCACGTTTAAATGAAAACTTTAATAATTAAAATAAATCACAGCAATACTTTAAACTTGAATATATTTCAGATTTGGCCGCTAAAAGACAAAGTGATAAAGTACCATCGGAACTTCCATGCATAATTATTTATTTAGCATAATATTATTCATGTAATAATCCCCATACCCAAACAAAATTATGCATACTGCTCTCTTGTTCTCCATTCTGTATTGGTTGCATTTTTAATAATTGATAGTGTCAATTTACACGAAAATATTACAGATTTTATAAAACAGTGAAAAATACAATTACGAGCATTTTCGTAAGTTGAAGACAACAGTTTTCATTTATATGCATGAGAAATATAAGACATCTTTATTTATTAATATGAATGTTCAACAGAAAGTGAAAAATGCAAACAAATTTCAACTGAAAGAAAACAACAAATGATTTTAAAACGAAAACTTGCACAACAAAATCTCCCATGAATTCAAACACATGATAAAAATTGTAACTTTTCTTTGCTGGTTAGCCTAGTTAATTAGCCATGACTAATATGAAATCCAGATAATATCAAAAGCTGGGCAAAATAGATAATTCAAGAAAGTCAAGAGTTAAGAGACTCAGAGTATCAATAATGTAAACAAATTAATTTTACCTATTACTCATTTCCAATTTGAATTCAGAGGATAAAAATGATGAAATACAGGAACATATTCAACAAAGAGTATATTAAAAATAGCACGATTTGTGCGATGCACAGAAAAAAGATTTAATATTTCGTAAAAATTTTTGTATCAACAATAAGGATTTAAAATATAGCTGATGAAAATATATTTAAAAGAAAGCCAACAATTGTAAAAACGTCTATAAACAAACATGAAATCTTCATGTGGTCAAAAAGATCTTAAATTATTAGTTAAAGAAATGAAAGAAATCTCTATAAAAAAACATTTGAATACTTCATGACTATCGCTCATCATTCGTTTTTCGATTTAAGAATGATTTAAGAACTTCTTTCAGATTTTTATCATCAGTTCTCATATTAAGATCCGTCATTAGTTGCATAACATCTGCATACAATCTATAAATTAGATTCGCATTAATAAGTTATCTGAAAAATTGATCAAGCTTACTTAAGATGTTATAAAGGAACATACATTTTGTCAGCTTCTGCAATTTGTCGACGAACTTCTGGTATTTGCCATGCTCGTACCCAATATTCCGTTGCTCGATTGTCCAACTCTCTCTGTTCATCATTAGAAAATTCCTCATTTAGACTAGTGCTAGGATTGCCTACAATGATAATAGAAAATAAAACATGTTATCCTCAACAAGTAATACTTATTTAGAGGAAAACTAAAGAGCTATAAAAGACTTCATCTCAATTACTAAAAAAAAAATTTGAAAATATCAGTAAACTGTAATAAAAATTCCAAATTTACAATAGTTTTTCATACTATTTATTCAAATGATGCTAACGTAGAGTTCTTAGTTTATAATAATTGTAGTGAGATAAACTTCTAGTTCCATTCATCTCCGCTAATGGCTATGTTTCTTGCAGAAGTATTTCTTTGAAAAAAAGAGTTCAAATTTGTTTATTATACTTTGTATAAGTGTTGTGCGAACCGTATCCACAATCTAGCTCAATAATCTTTCGAAAAAACCTTCCGCTTCCCACTACTATTACTTTAAATTCGTGTTCATAATTATTCCATCCCTTACAACATTAGAACAAATGAAAGTGAAACAAAGACCACTTAATTAAAACTGGTTCCCCTCGAAATTCATAAAATTAAGAAACATAAACAATCATAAAAAGTACAGAAAACAATAAAAAAAAAGACCTAGCGTATAGAGCCCATCTGTGCCACTGGTATCTGCTGACGAGTTAATTTGGAATACATGAGGTTGTACAGCACCGAAAACAGGTTCTTTCAGCGGATCATATTCTTCTTCTTCTGCTTTCAGATTTTCCACATCACCATTGCCACATGTATAAGAAAAGCCTGAAGTAATAGTTTTAAATTAATCTAATACAGGGATTTTTGCTGTGTGAGATCTCCTATGTAATCCTATAATTACATTAGTCTTGTTGAATCGAATAGTTTTTTTATACATAGGAAAAAAGAAAGAAAAAAGTGTCTTCGTGAGCCACATCTTCCTTATTCCTTCTTTTTATGTCTTATAACTAATATGCAAACCATTTTTCAGTATTGAAATAAATTTTTTCTGTAGAAAAAAGAAAATCAACCTGAATAAAAGTTATCGTCAACTTCCTGAAATGTAACCATCATTAGAACATACTGAGAAGATATGAAATTTAAATATTTTTCAGTTAGAGATTAATAACAATAAATTAATAACTGATTTACTTTCTGAGTAGTTCCCGGTAAGTCAGAAGAAAGATCTGGTCGCTGTTGTTGACTTTTCTGAAATTAATTATAAAACATAGTGAAGTTAACTAATAATATAAGCTGCCTGCAAATACAATATTCTAGAAATTCCATCTCGGTATTTTACTACACTACTGGAGAAATAATGATCAAATAATGCTAAAGCACAAATAAATATGTAATAGAATTCTTTGCGGAGCGAAATTATATTGCGAGCTATTAACTGGCAAAAACTAAACGATTCAGATCATCGATATGACGATATAAAATGAATTGAATGCATGATTACAGCGCTATCAGCTTTTGGCCAAATAATTCAGTGCTTGATCAAAAAGCTAAGATAATGCAACGTCACTTCACTTTTCTAGTATCGCATTGGATGAATATCATATAACACGTTCTAACACTTTATTATTTGCTTGAGCTAAAAGTAATAATAAGGGAAAACTTACAGTGAAATGATAATTATCATTTGTTTCAACTTTCGCATTGCATTCATCTCTCGTCGTGGAAACAAATTCCTCAGAATTGCCACTCGCGTTTGAGAAATTTACAACTGAACACGAATTTTGCATGAATTCTGTACATCCCTACAAATTAATTCAGCAAATGTATGCACAAGCTTTACCAGAAATATTAGATGTATAATCCTAATCAACTGTTTCAAATAAATTTTTGGACATTATTCCACCCCCACTTGTAAACTAAATCTTTCCCTGCGGAAATCTTATTAAATTAATCGGAAAACAAAATATAATGTAATAAATTTTAAACTCCAAAAATATAAAAAGCTCAATTTTGTTTACTTTAACAATTTTTCATCTCACTTATGCTATAGAGCATTTTATAGAACATGAATGCTTTCCTTGATCAATAATCTCCTAAATCAATGATAGAAATTTGTAGAAAAAAATATGGCGAAGTCTGATTCATAAGAGAATCCTCACAAATTCAGCAATTTTTTCGTGAAGTTCAATAAGAACACAACAGCCGTAGTAGAAAGAAAGAGCAAAAAGTTCATATTGAAAAAGTAAACAGACCTTATTTACCACGCAAAACACTTCCCAAACAGCACCAGTTCGCTTGGATGGCATGTTTTTGCAGACAATCAAAGGCAGACATTTATTGCAGTAATCCTGTCGAAATTTTCTTGAGCCGAATTCTACAGCTCCAAGTGTTTCAGTTTCAACAGTTACTTCACCAGTCGGATAATATTTTAAATTATTAACCGCAATGATTGCCAAAATTTCTACCTATAGAAAACTTTCAGCTTTTAACTATTCAAGTAGCGTTAGCAAAAGTAATCGTAATATTACTCTCTTAAAAGAGATTTACGATGACATCTGTCTAACCATTTCATTCAATTCACTGAGAACTAATAAGAGAAATCTTTTCAACAGTCCTCACCCCTTACATATAATTTAGAATTTCCAAATCTAATTTAATCACCATGATACATATTTAATTCAAATAGAATCAAAAACAAAGCAATCTTTCTTCATGTTCCTTAATATGTAACAGTAAAACTAACTTGAACTGTCTTATTGAAAGCTTTTGCTGGAAGCACTGGTTCAATTGCTTCGAATTTTTTTCCTTGTAAATAACAGTTAAGATAGGGACGTTGAATTGGCCTGAACAGTAAAATTATCGCGCTGTTTTGATTTCATTAAATGGAAATATAAAATTTATATGCTGCAAAAAAAAACAATTACCAGTCTACCCATTACAATATAACTGCAGACGAACAAACAATAAGCAAACCTCTCGGAAAAGGTATACGATTCTAGCCACTTATATATCCAACTATATTCTAAATTAATTCACAGCATCTAAATATTGGATTCACTTTGTTTTAATATCGCTCAAACGTTGTCAAATCGAGTTTTGCATAAGATAGAAACCAATAAAATTGCAGTTAATTACAAAAATAATGCAATAACCAGATAAGAGTTGAATCATAAATGCTTACGCGCAATTAAACTGAACCCAATCACCAACTTTCATTCCTTTACGTGCACCGAAAAAAAAAACCACCTCACTATCCGGTATTGCCAAAGACCATACTTTTGCATCTGAATCGTGTACAGCTGTCACTAAGCCTTCGTAATTATCAATATACTGTAATAATTCATCCATTTACATCTTAGATTTTGTGCTAAAGAATGCTCAGAAACTGCTTACTACCGCTATTCAGCAAATGACATAACGATAATGGACGATGGACATAACTCTACAATGGTCCAGAGAATAGCACTGCTTACTATCTGCTTCAAATCATTTGTTGATAAGATTGTCAAATATTACAAAAGTTTTTATAAAATAAGAAAAAAAACTTTTTTCAGTAATTTTTTTTTCAGTGATGACTTTTGTCTCATTTGACGTGGATAATCGGAATATGAAAACGTTCGGAAATATTGACTGTTTTCTTCGCGATTCCATGGCTAAACATAGACAAATTCTTATTGAACTAAAAATTTTCCAACAAACATTTCGTAGAGACCAAGGGACTAATGATTTTAAGAGAAATATGAGCAGAGATATAATTCCTAAATGTAGAGCAAAATCGCTGATTTATAATTTTAAACAGAAAATCAAATACGCATGCAAAGATGCAAAGCACAACTTTTCAGGATGCTTTCAACAGCGACATGGTTTCAAAATTATATCAGTAAAGAGTAATAGAACAATCATAAATTAACCGCTTTGCTGATAAGCTGCTTGCTTTGCTCATCACATTCATCAAAAACATCGTCCACTATTTGCCATGATACGAACACACCAGCAATATTTTGAATCATCCGAGGGACCCTATAATAAAATGAAACAATCGAACGAAATCAAACATGTTCTCACGTGTTCTTTTATTTGATTCACTATAACCAACTAGCTCAAATTTTTTATTTTGTGTGCTTAATGTGGTTTTGTAGTTTTAAATAGGAATGAAACGAAATCTAAGATCAATAGTTCTACTTGGCCATTTCGAATCAAGTAAAACTATTCTAAATTTCTTTTAGCCATAAAGAATATTAAATACAATGACAGAAATAAGTCAAATTCATCACTAGAAATTAAATGCAGTTTAGTATAACATTGGGAAAAAACAATCCTGTTTATTCTATACAAAATCTTCTAGAAATATGAAATTACTCTGGAGATCAAGCAGCAACAAAGATGACTCCTTAACCTTTCCAACCATACATACCTTTCAATCCAAGCTTTATACATCTGATTTTGATAAAATGTCTTCGCGACATTTGAAGAGCAACCAACGAATGCAAAGTCAGGCGACCAAGCAAGTACTTTTTTAGTAGAGAATGTGGTGAAATTGGCTCGTTCAGAGAATTCTTCTGGAGGAAATGCCACCGAAACTTTCACCTGAAATGGTTAAAGGCATCATTATTTTGACTCCCTATAAATTCTTAGCAAAAAGAACAGCTGTACGTATGCTATCAATTTTACAACATGAATTACTTATGAGTGATCTGTGATTTTGAATTCATCGTGATATAATATACAGATAAAATTGAATATTCATTTAGTAGCGATCTCAAAAATACAAGTCCCAAACAATAAAATAAATGAAAATTTGTACTTCGTAAATAGTGACAATAACTTATACTTGTAAAGTATTGTTCACGAGACGTGTTTCGAACAATTTACTTATCCGAGTTGGTGAAGTGACAGAACCATTGATGTCGATAAATGATATAAAATCACCAACATGAAAGTGTTCTCCATCATTCGATATTTTACGCTGATCAATTACCAAATCAGGATGTTTACCTATAAATAAAGAAAAAGACAAAACATTTGTTAAAGAAACATCAGTATAATAAATGTGAAGTAAATTATTAAAGTAACAAGAATTTTAGTGTAATTGATTAGTCAAATAATAAAAATTTCTATCATAGGAAACCACTCTTCATATCTCTAATTTCTGTTATCAATATTTTCTAATCATGTGAAAGCTTACAATAAAAAAAAGATACGGAATAAAAAAAGAAACCTGGAACAAATACATATAATAATTCATTATCAGTTTGATGGCTTATCAATCCTGTACGTTTGGACATTGAAGTATTTAGATCCTAGAACTATATCATCCTGATAATAAACAAGAAGAACATTCCTGTGACAAGAAAATGTATCGAAAACAACAAATTCCGGCTGAATGATAATAACAAATAACAATGAAAAAAATTATAACTGATTATCATCCTTGGTAAAATATTTCTTTTTTATTACTCATTTAATACATAGTGCAAAATCTAAACGATCACATCAAATATTATGAAAAAATGGTGAAGAAAACATCAAATAAAATATATTTGATATTGTCTTCCACATTTTTCCATAATATTTGCATGTATGGCCACGTCATTTAATCAGGTACGTAGTCATTTCATTTTTCATTTTCTTTAAAATTTCTCCCCAAAATACAATTTGCTGCGAAATCCAAAATTAGAAGATTACAAATTAAGACTATAATGAGAGGAAATGATGGACGGTTATAGAAAACGCGAAGCTATACATTTGAAAAAATAAAAACAAAGAGGAAAGCCGGTTTGATACTTTCCGGTATTTCGAGTTCCGGCCCAATCAATTCCCAAAACGATCACTCGCAGTATGAGGAAAATTTTTCATTTTCTCAAAAAAAAAAAAACATACTTTCAATCAGTTGAATTATTCTCTTCAAATAACATATTTTTACAAATGATAACAAATATGATAAAAAGCAATCAATAATTCCAATTGATCGAACTATACATTTCATTCTTTTACAGTTCGATAAGTAAAATTTTTTCGCTAAAATTTCAGTCGTTAAAAACTGATGAATAATAACCTGTCAATAATAATAATAACAATCAATAAATCCTTCCTATGCATCATCCAATTATTGTAATGATATAATAATGGTTGTTAGTAATGCAGAAGTAATCGATAATGATCTGTAATTTTTAAGATTGTTTGATTTGGTAGTACATGAAAGGAATAAGGGCAGATTAGCTGAGAGAGAAATATGAGGGAAATTACTGACAGCTGAGAGAAGCAAAGTGAGAAGATATTGCATAGTGATGAAATAGCTACAGTTATTACCAGTTTAAGAAGAAACTCCCAATATGTGTTAAAGAAAAAAATATCCTGTTAACTCTTAGAATTCGGAGAAAAGAGAGAGAGAGAGAGAGAGGGACGGGAGGAAAGATTTAAAATAAATATTTATATGTCATATCTTCCAATGAATCATCATCATCATATCATGATCATCAACATCGTCATCATCATCACATCATCATCATCATCACATCATCATCATCATCA